CCTCGGCTGACTGGTTGGGGGGTGTGAGTCGGACGGGGGACAGAACAACTTGTAAGAAGTGTAATAATTGTAAACATTACCTCCCAGATAGTAAAAAGGTAGGTTTCTGCCTTAGTTCCAATAAGAGCTTGTTCCATAATAATTGCAATATGGCAGAAAAAAACAGCATTTGCTTGCCACAATCTGGGGAGCAATAGGGTTCAAAGCCAGTGTTACTAGATGCCCAATCCTTGCTGTCTGCTGCCTTCATGGTGGATGCAAGTCTGGATAATGCCTAATTCTCATGGCTGCCAATTTCAGACACCTTCAAATGGACCAAGCTGCTTGTAGAGTCTCTAGATGAGATCTTATGTGGAACGAAGAACAAAATGAAAGCTCTGCCCATATTGCACCAAAAGTTGATTCTGGGACTAAAAGGGACATGGATCATTTTAAAACTGGGGGGCACTCCGTCCTCAACATGAATCTAAAGGAAGCATGTTCCCTTACTAACAAAGAAGCGATACAAACAATAACTCTCTCTGCTGCTGGATGGGCAGATTTGATCTTTCCCACGTATAAAACACCAGATTCATAGGTCCTAAAGATGGTATCATATGGGCACATCAAAAATTTCATCATTCCTTTAGACATACCAAGTGACAAAAATTAATCACATTTTCCTGAAAGCCATCATTTACCTTAGCTAAACAAATGATTGAGTAGGTACTTCTGGGCAAGAGATTCTTTTACTCATATTCTATATTTTTCATTGTACCAAGAAAAACAAGAGATGGTACATTATCCTTACTGGAGCAAGTGAACTGATACAAGATATTGCCAGGTCTGAAGGGAGATTTTGATATCCATCATAGAATGCCTACATAAAAATGATACTGATGCCTCACTAAACTTACAGGACACCTGCTTACACATTCATATTTACTCATCCCACCAATAGTTCCTGGGTAATTGTTAGCAATTGAAAGCTCTTCCATCCACCCTGTGCTCAGCTCCTAGAGGTGATTGTAATTGTAGCTATTTCAGATCCCCAGGAATATGTCTGTACTCTGCTTATGACTTGTTTTCCTGATTTTCATTTATCAAAGAAGGAAAAAATGACATCAGTGTGTCAAGAATTGTTTCGTTATCAGTGAAGAAATGGGCATCCTTCAACTAGCACATAGCCTACAACTCCATAGTACCATTCTCACCATAATAGAGTGTTTTCTTAATAAGATGGAATTTTGAACCAAGTTTTATTGTTGGCTTCTGGTTCACGGCAATCCAGGAAGTATTGAATTATAACAGGAAACGAATTATCAATAATGGTTTCTTGATCAGTTTAACTACTTTCTATGTGGAACAGGCAAATAGGAGTGTTATTAGGATAACTCAAAGCATTTTCTGTGCTTTCTTATATTTTAGTGATAATTGCTTATCCCATAGAATCTATGCCATGTCCAGACTGGACTCACAATTCAATTTTCCATTGATTTTTCTGGTCGTAACTTTATTTAACTTTTACTAATGAATGCATGATTTGTTCACTTTTCAAGAATATGGGCTGTCACCTCACAAAACAGCTTGGTGGGCAGGGAAAACATTTTTACTAAATTGGCATTTTAAAAAGTTAACTGAACACATTGTGATCAACCTCCTACTTTAATCAGTTCACTGAAGTAGCAAGATAAAGTCATAGGGAAGTCGTTGAGTCCTTCCGAGGTGAGATTATTTTGTCGATATTCCATTTTTAATAATAATGTAGACCTAAGGAAGTGTGTGGGAAAATGGGGCCTATTCACTTTTTAATTGCTAGTTTCCTTAGAAAAGTTGGCATTCTTCCTCTAAAGAACAACTGTAAGTGTATATTTTGGCCTAGGTTTAGAGACCTTCTCTTCTAAGGAGTAACATATTGGCAAAAGGTGTGTGTGTCTCTCTGTGTGTGTACAACTTCATTAATGTCTGACTTATTAAGAGATGCAAGAGAATGGCAAAATGTCAGTATCCATTTCCTGCCATTTTGCTTCATGTATGTCAAAGAGATGGGTGGCTTGCTTGTTAGCTCAACTGTGGCAAATAACAATAATTTACAGTTTAGACAAAAGGGATCATTCAGAAAACAGCTTGTGGAGAGAAGGTCAAACATTTTTCTTCATACAAAGAGCTTCTAATCTATATTATCCCCTATAATTGCTATTTTCTTTAAAAAAAACAACAACCATATAAACCCAGACTTAGATTCCCCCCCCCCCAATTCTGGGCCTTTCTTCCTCATTATTGGCATCTATGAGTACAATCTGATTTGTAGCCAGACTATATATGGCTGTAATATATAAACCACAATATATCTATATATACCTATCTACTTTCAATAAGATAAATTCAGTCTTTCTCATTCAGATTTTTCCTTTGAGTGTCCAAGTTGCTTTCAAGAAAAGGACACCCTTTCTAGTAGTTTTGTAGATTTCTTTCACACTTCCTTATTTGACATCAATCTGGTGCTAGCTGGGTTTCTCAACACCATCAAAGGGCATTAATAGTAGTCACTTGGTGCCAAATCAGAGCTATAGGAGGGGTGGTAATCAAAAATATCTCAACGGAACTGCTTCAAAAGTTCTTGGGTGCATCTAGTGGTGTGCGGGAGAGCATTTCCTTCCTCCAGAGAAGATTAGTTCCAAAGTACTTTAAAAAAACTCTTGCACAAGTTGAACAATGGTGAGGGTGACCACCCTCTCTCTCTCTCTCTCTCTCTCTCTCTCTCTCTCTCTCTCTCTCTCTCTCTCTCTCTCTC